TGTCGCTCGGCTCGGCTAATGTCCGTCCCATGCACTGAACGCGCTCTCCTCCACATCACGAGTAGACACGCCCCTTATTGCTGATTGGCTACAAGTTTGTTTTGCGATTCGGCCCGAATCAGTTTTCTAAAGTGTTTTTGAAAAATCACTTACTCTGCCTTTAACTGAAATCATGTGCCTTTGGCTTTTGTGACTTTTGACTGGAGTTAGATACGAGTTCTGAACCACTGGTTTGAAAACAAGAGATTCTCAAAGGTTTCAAAAGCACCCATCACTACATATAATCAAAGACTTTAGATATGCCAAGACACTCATATTACTATCAATGGGAGGAAGTGTAAAGCACAACATGGCAAACAGAATCATGCAATCTAAATAAAAGAACCAATTGCCAATTGGTAAAGTTAATGCGTCCCTGCAAATATGGCTGCAAAGTGTACTTTCCTTTGAAGGGTCTTTGATGTAATGCTTAAAAGTGATGCATGTTATTTAGTGGCCACCAGTGGCTATAAACAGGATTGCAAAAATAATTTTTAATTGCAAGTTTTCTCTGCAAAACTCAACAGCACAGTGTATTGTGGGTGGCTGCCAGGGCATTGCTATGCTGTTGCTAAGGTGCTCCAAGTAGTTTTTAGCACATTGTTATGCAGTTGCTATAGTGTTCTGGGTGGTTGCTTACTGGTCCAAAATAAGCTTCTCTCAAATCTCTACGAAGTGTGCAAGCTGAGCTAAGCTTAATACTTGGGGTTATGGATTTGAACAAAACCCTTAAGATGAAAAATAGTAAGGTGGACCAGAAATTATACTTACTTCCTCCTGGAACCTTGAACAATGTGTATTTAGTTTTGCCCTTCTCTGCGATGCATGTTCCCATACTGTAGCTATTTCCCTCTTTATCATAATGTGTATGTGATGCCACAATATTTACAGGAAGGTATTTCAGGTAGTCCACCTTGAGTGATTAAAGCAACAACAATATTCTATGAGAACATGTAATCAAAAATGAAGAACATTTCAATCATGACAACTCTCAGAATAGCTTTAGCATGTTAATGGATATGACAACATTAATTTGGTCTTGGCAGACTAGACCTGCTATGCAATCTGCTGCTGAATGGACTTGCTACTGCCAATAGATACACAGACACTGCTGTGAGCACGTAAGATATGCTGCTGCTGCATGAATAGGCATAAATAAATCCCATAGCATATCTACAAAGGTGGTGCTGGGGGAGGTGGAAGGTTTTTGAGGAACTAGCTTTTAGCAAACACTGAACTAGACTATATAAATGATGAGCAATCAATCTAATTGGCTGCAAAATCAGCAGAGACCAATCAGTTTGTGCCATGTAGTAAATGATGTGGTTGCTAGCAGATTGCACGCAAACGACATATCAATCTGTGCAGTCTAGAGTTTCCTGACTGAACTAGATACTTTTACTAACTTTTTTTTTTTTTACCTTTTCTTGAGTCTCTAAAGTCATGGGGTCAATTTTACGAATGTAATTGGTCTCAGATGTAGCATGGTAGTCATTTCCATATTTGATTATGTTATTGGCGCAGTTGTCAGTGAAGTCTGGTATGGTGTGGCTGAGGAAAGTGATCACTCTGAAAAGGGAGTTAAAAAGAACACAATTTATTCACAATTAACAATATGCTTATGTTTTTTCTTCTTCTTCCTGAATCAATTGCATCAGACAGTAATGTTACTTACTTGGAGAATATATTTTTGCATGGGTCTGGGTACGCCATGGTCCCCATCTCTGACACCACTATTCTGTTGGCCTGCATGTTGGAGTTGTAGGTGTCACCTTGAAGATACTTGCTTCTATACGTCACCTCTCCTGAAAATTAAACAATAATCAATATATTCGTGTGGACCACTGAACTAACAAAACCCTCAGGACAGTAGAAACGTATATAAAAGCCTGAATGACAATAAAGTAAATACCTTTTTTAATTGTGAAACTGTGCAAAAGTGCCATTCCATCAAACCAATGGTTGTATCTCGTCTCTCCCAAAGAGAAGAGGCCAGGTCCATTGCGTATAAGCGTGCCCTGCAGCCATTCAGGAATCAAGCCTGCAGAGATGATAAAACTATTTTAAGTGGAGCATTTTGGTACAATTGACTGCTTATGTCCACTTTTCTGTCCAAACCATCTTCTATTAAGCTCACAGAACAGTTCACAAAGACAAAAAATTTATAAAGATCTCCTCCACAAGCACTTAACCAGAAATAAAGACACTCCTTAAAATATTAAATATATATATATAGTCCTTTTTTTGTATTAACATTTCGGCTCTAGCTGTACACTATTCTGGTTTATGGTTTTAATTCTGTATCATGATGAAACTAATATTGCCAGCCTCTTTATGATAAATTCATTGTATTTTTCCTATTTTAAGTGACTATGACTAAAAGCCTCTGCTAACTGAAATGCAAGTGAAAAGTACTGGGTTCGTACAGAATTTTAAACATGAAATTCAAGCACTTTCAAGCAGTGACAGCTGGAGCTTTTCAAGGGGAGCCGCTTATAATAAAGTAATATCTCTAGTAATAATAAATTTACTTAATGAAAATTACTATTCATTATTGGTCACACATTACTGCCTATTCAGAAGCTTATTCTATAGTAGACCATAGCAAATATAAATTGTATTTTCCCATTTGTTCCAGCAAACAGAAAAATCTACTGCTTGCCAAAAGAGGGGGGGAAAAAAATGGAGAGCGATGGAGTATGGCAGACAGAAGAATTTTTTTTTTTCAAATTTAGTCACTCCATCAGCAGCTCTATTTGAAAACACATCACAGCTATATTCACTAGTTTCTTGTGGGTTTTATTCATTTGGAGGAATACTGAATCTATTTTTGTGTGACTGAGACTAGAAACAAATTGTTGCAGAAAGAAGTTTTTGTCTGGTGTCTATATTTAATCAGCATAACACACTTCTAATATGAGTGTAATTCAAACTCAAGTTTTACGGACACATTAAAAAAAATTAAAAAAATAAAAACGTAATCACTATAATTTTAATACTTGTCTGGTTTTATTTAACAAAAAGTCATTTCATTCAAAGAGAATATGATATGAATGTAAAAAACTGTGGCTTAGGTAATCTGGAAACCATGAGAATGACAGGACAGGTTTAGTATATGATGATGAGTGTTCTAGTGTGGATTTTAACATATACACATCAACCAATATCAAATATTTGTCCTAAGTAAATATTTGTCTAAGTAAATGAGTTATTACTGAAGATTATACAGTGTCTAGGTTACCTTAAGGGTGGCTGGGGAGAGTTGATTTTTCACATGTACTTGTACACATAATTTGTAATGCATTGAGACCACTAATCTACACCCTATGTTCTCTATTATAGATGGGTAAATGAGACTCACAATACACAAGGGATCCTCTCTCTCTCTCTCTCTCTCTCTCAGGGCATTCGAAGGAAAAAAATATTAAGCATCTCAAGAATAACACACACACACACACAAATGTGTAGGCTATATATAGAGAGAGAGAGAGAGAGAGAGAGTTCTTTACATTCATATACATTTCCCTTTGTAACCCAGACTCGAATTGTATAATCTATGCTGGCCTGATTATGGCCCGATGCCGGCAGCGTTGGCTCAGTTTCGGCACCCGGACTCGGGCCAGTACCGGTTAATTGTATAATCTGTGCTGGCCTGATTGTGGCCCGATGCCGGCAGTGTCGGCTCAGTTTCGGCACCCGGACTCGGGCCAGCGTATTCGGGCCGATTCTGGCGCGTCATTCATTCCCGTGATTCACACGAGTCCGGCAACCGCATCAGGCCCGAGTTATTTCTTCCGGCTTGCCGGATTTGGGCCGTTATCGGGCCAGATCTTTTTGGCTACCTGGGTCTCTCTCTCTCAGGGCATTCGAAGGAAAAAAATATTAAGCATCTCAAGTAAGACATTCAAAATTCAAGCACAATTCAATCCTTAAAAACATAACAGTTAAAATCAAGCATTCTCCAAACTTTCAAAACTCTGTACGAACTGGAAGAAATCCAGTGAAGATACATAAAACATTACTTTGGCATTCTTATCTTCCTTTTTCACATGGAGGCTATCAAAAAAAGTGTTTTATGACGTTGATTACGCTTGTTGTTGTTGTTGTTGTTGTTTTCGGTAGATAACAGAAATTCATCTCATTACTGGGTGTTAACTAGTCTAGTCAACTAGTAAACTCTTCTTTGGTCAAGCTTGCTGGTGGGGATATTACAATAATTTCCAAGTGCAAAGTTAAACTGTTAGAATTCCTCTACTGAAAGAAATTAAGATGAAATTCGATAGGCTTCACATTGTATATCAAACATAAAAACAGTGATCTAGTTGGTAAAGTTAATTTAATAAAAAAAATAAAAATAAAATTAATTAATGTAATGTATTAAAATATGATTTAGAAAACTGCATTTGGATCTGTTGTGGTAATTTTTTTTTACTTGTTAGTTGTCTGACATCATGGCTGGACAGAGGTGGGTATGAATAAAGAATATGAACTTATCGTGAATGTCCTAATGTTTACAACATCACAGTGCTGCCTCCCAGGAGATATACAATAAAACACGGTGCAGTCCAAATTTGTTTAATGTTGCGCGAACAAACACATTAAGCTTTTAGTGCTTGGTATATCAGCAAACAAACGGCAGTGATTCACTACAGGCGCGTAATGGCAACGCATTTTTCTCTTCTTACCTTTTACGTCAGCGTTAATGGGCTCCGGATGTTCGTCCTTGTTTTTACTATAGTCGTACTGCATCGTTCCAAAGCGTTGTCGAAAGTTTCTCCAAAGAAGTTCTGAGAAGTGACAGTCAGCGTTCGAACACAAACTGTCTATAAAGCTTGAGGAAGGTAAAGACTCCGCCTCTCATTACAGGACTCGGGAGACTCATGTTTACAGCGTTTAACTTCTCTTATTCTTATAATCTCCTCATTACTGCCGTGGGCTCATGATTGTTCTTAAAATGTAAACAGGTGCAAATTATATTATAGAGATTACAGATAAACAGGTCAGTCTGGTTGTCGTCTTCATTTAACTGTACCATTAGCATAAAAGGTGATCTGAGATAAATATCAAAAAAGAAAGGTCAGTCAGGTATTTTACTTTTGTAGTTGTTTTTGCACATGGTGTTGTGCTGTGGGGCCTGTTTTATTTTAGATAAATGCCATGAAGACAAAGAATTCAGTCACATGTTTGCCATGTTGAGATCACATGACTAAATTTACTCTACTGACTCAGTAACTGTCCTATTATCAACATTTTTGCTGCTTAAAAAAATAATGACGCTGAATAACACATTTCTGCAGTTATATTGGAAACTAAAAACATAAACTTGTAATTAAAGTTAATCCATGCCAATACTTTAGATGTCAATCTATATCCAAATGACTGCTAGCCTAACTGCCGGCACAACATATGTTCAAATTCATTTAATCCTAATGAATGCTATATATTTTCTATATTCAGCAAACAGTAAATTTCTATATTGTAGTATTCATTATGATTAAATGTTTGAAGAATTTGGCCTATATACACTTCTGGCAATGAATACTACTCCATTGTGAGCAAATGGGGATCCACCCAAATTTGAGGGGATTATGCATTTAACACAGTTAGTGTTTAACATGCTGAGAACATGATTCGAGCATACTTACCCTGTGTCAGCCACTAAAAAGAGTTCTAGGTTCCAAAAAAAAAAAAAAAACCCCGGAACTGAACTGATATGGCCAGTAATTTGTCACAAATGATATATTGTTATAGCATGACCAAAACAAATCCTAATTTCCACAGTTTCCCATTTATTTCTTTGGAGAAAACATAGAGAAATATCCAATAGATTTTCCAAAAGAACGTATGTTTGTTTGCTTGTTTATTTAGAGCAGTATCAAAGAGCAGTATTTAGTGAGAGGCAGATTGATTTTAGTGTCATTGAGATACTATTATAGCTTTTATTAATATTTTTAATTAGTTTTTATTTATTATTTATTTTATTTTTATATTTGTCATTTTCATTTTACTGTTAGCTAAAGTTTTAAGAATTATGTTTTTAAATATGTCTATATAGTTTTTATTTTATATTTTGTTTGTTTTGTTTGAGTTATTTTAGTACATTAAGTTAAACTAAAGTGCTATTTGGCTATATCTTTAACACCAAACACATCTGCAGACTGTTCTAACCCCCCAAGTCATATTCCCAGTGAAATGCTTTCCGACAGCAAATGCTATGAGTTTGCTTCTTTCTTTTCTGAGAAGATCAATAATATCAGAAACACAATAAGCACATCCTCAAATTGTGCAGAGGTCAGACAGATCTGATCACAATTTTAGAAAGCAGTTATTATGTCTGATTTCAAAGCAATTGATGGCAAAATTTTGAAAGAAACAGTACAGCACCTTAAAACTTCAACCTACAGCCTATTTTTTCAAAAGTGTTTAACTGTTTAGAAGCAGATCTTTTAGAAGTGGTAAACGCCTCACTTCTTTCTGGGACTTTTCCAAACTTCCTGAAAACTGCCGTTATTAAGCCCCTCCTGAAAAAGAGCCATATTGAGCAACTATAGACCATTACCAAATCTTCCTTCTATAGGCAAGATCACTAAAAAGGTAGTTTTCAATCAGTTGAAGAACTTCTTAAACTCAAATGGATACCAGGACAATTGTCAGTCTGGTTTTCGGCCACATCAGAGCACAGAGACAGCACTCATAAAGATAATAAATGATATTCACTTAAATATTGATTCTGGCAAAATATCGGTGCTGGTATGTGACGAGAGGGGCGGGGCCGAGAGCCGTGGGAACGGAGCGAGGCCGGTGGAGTAAATGCTAATGCGCGACACCTGCGCCACTCACCGGTCTCGAGTCCCACGGAGGAGCTCCGTAAGGTTAAAAGGAGGAGTGACGACAGTGTTGGACGAGAGAGTACCAGGCCTGGATTTTATTTTGTGTTTTGTGTGTGGCAGTCGTCCGCGAGGGGCTGCCGCTTTACTTTCATTTTGTGTTTGTGTTTGTTTATTTTTATTTAATTGTTTAAATGTTCGCCGGTTCCCGCCTCCTTCCTGAACTACGGACTTTGTTACATGGTACTACTAGATCTCAGTGCTGCGTTTGACACTGTCGATCATAACATACTTCTAGAGAGACTAGAAAAACTGGGTTTGCCTTTCTAGTATGTTCCTCAAATGGTTCATGTCATACTTAGAAGGGAAGGGTTATTATGTGAGTATAGGCGACCATAAGTCTAAGTGGACACCCATGACAGTCCCTCAAGGCTCAATTCTTGCACCGTTCTTGTTCAACCTATTATATGCTCCCACTGAGTCAAATAATGAGAAGGAACCAAATTGCCCATCATAGCTATGCAGATGACACCCAGATTTATAGCCTTATTGCCTAATGGGGCGATGCTGATAGCCTAATGGTTAGAGAGTCGGACTTGTAACCCAAAGGTCACGGGTTTGAGTCTCGGGACTGGCAGGGATTATAGGTGGGGGGAGTGAATGTACAGCGCTCTCTTCCACCCTCAATACCACGACTGAGGTGAGACCCTTGAGCAAGGCACCGAACCCCCAACTTCAGCAAAAATGGCTGCCCACTGTTTCGTGTGTGTGTGTGTGTGTGTGTGTGTGTGTGTGTGTCTTCACTACTCACTGCTGTGTGTGTGCACTTGGATGGTTTAAATGCAGAGCACAAATTCTGAGTATGGGACACCATACCTGGCTCCACGTCACGTCACTCACTAATGACTACAGCCCCATTGACTCCTCTGCCAATGCATTAATGATGTTGAGTTGGATGTGCCAAAACTTTCTTCAGTTAAACAAAGAGAAAACTGAAGTTATTGCATTTGAAAACAAAAATGAAGTCCTCAAGGTGAACGCATACTATGGGGGTCAAACAACAGAAAAATCAATTCAATAATCTTGGTGTGTTTCTGGAGTCAGACCTTAGTTTCAGAGGTCATGTCAAAGCAATAACTAAATCAGCATCTTATCATCTCAAAAACATTGTAAGAATTAGATGTTTTGTGTCCAGTCAAGACTTGGAGAAACTTGTTCATGCCTTTATCACCAGGGTGAACTATTGTAATGGTCTCCTCACTGGCCTTCCCGAAAATACCATTAGACAGCTGCAGTCCATCCAGAACGCTGCTGCCAGGATTCTGACTAGAACCAGAAAATCTGAACATATCACACCAGTCCTCAGGTCTTTACACTGGCTTCCAGTTACATTTAGGATTGATTTTAAAGTATTATTACTTGTTTACAAATCATTCAATAGTCTAGGACCTCAATACGTTGCAGATATGCTCACCGAATATAAACAGACCACTCAGATCACTATAGGATCAATCAGTTAAAAATACCAAGGGTTCACTCAAAACAAGGGGAGTCTGCTTTTAGCTATTCTACTACCCACAGTTGGAACCAGTTTCCAGAAGAGATCAGATGTGCTAAAACAGTAGCCACATTTAAATCTAAACTTAAAACACAACCGTTTAGCTGTGCATTTACTGAATGAGCACTGTGCTACGTCTGAATGATTACACTGTATTTTATGTATACTCATTTTTTTATTTATTCTTAAATGTTTTATTTCGTTTAAATAAATTTTTAATCATTTTAAAATGTTTCTTTTCTGCTTTTATAGTTGTGATTATTTTTATGATTATTTTAATTCCTTTTTATGTAAAACACTTTGAATTACCATTGTATATGAAATGTGCTATGTAAATAAACTTGCCTTGCCTTGCCTAAATAAAAATTATGAATGTTTCTTTGGCAACTAGCTGAAATAAATTCGTTTTTTAATATTTTATTTTATTTATTTATTTGTGGGTTTTGGTTTCAGTTTTAGTTTTAATTTTTAATAACCATGAGAGGTGCTACAAATAATTTTGCCCTATTTGCTGATAAAACAGGGTAGGAGGTTGTTATTATTTCTCATCGTTATTTTCAACCCAACTTATTCAAAATGCTTTTTGCAACATTACAGGATATAACCATATAACATTCACTGATATGCTAATATATACCAAACTTCTTGACCTTCGACATTTACAGATAACCATAATAATGCAGATAGTGAAATTAGAACACATGATCGCTGCACTGAAAGATCATAAAATTTGGCCTTTTCATGAGCCACAACCATATGCAGACAGTATACAGTCTCTCTTGTTACCAACAGAGGGTATAAGACTTTGAATCAAACCCATTTGTACCGCATGAGAGCCACTGCCCTAACCTCTAAGCCACAGCTTCAACAGAGCTTGTTGTTTTAAACATAATTTCAGAGAATGCATGCAAAGCTGCTGCTCATTTCTCTTCATTACTGGAATTTGGACACATTTCGGAAAGAACTTACTCTTTCAGCCATTTAATTTGTTTTTAGACTTGTTTGAAGTTTTTAATAATGATTTGCTGTAGAGTCTGTATTTATGATTTGGTAACTGTGGTAAAGTACAAACTAATACACACAAACTACCTTTTGTTTCCTTTAAGCACAAGTAAAACATTTACTGCTTCATATTTATCAGGTATGATAAAGTCCTAGGAAACATCTTGTTAGATGAGAGCAGTGTTCCTAAGAAGATTTGAGTAGCCTATACTCAAACAAGAATTAAAGGGATACTCCACCCCAAAATGAAAATTTTGTCATTAATCACTTTGTCGTTCCAAACCCCTAAAAGCTGCACGGATGCGCTGTTTTCGTTCAAATCAAAGCGTAAATACAGGTAGAAAACGTATTCTTGTGTCGCGGCTTATGTACTTCTTTTTACATACAAAAGAGTATGACAAAAGTCCTTGGATGGTCTACTATTTCAAGACGATTTTTGAAGTGTGGATCCTTGCACGCTAATATTACCCACAATCCATTACGCTTTGGTAAATGATTCGGTTCAGAACTACAAACACGAATAAAAACCGTTAAAAACTACAAACAT